CTCCCAGGGATGGTTATCCATCCCATGGCTCGCTCCTCAGCTGGCTCCTCCCGCTATCCCTACCATTTCTGCCCTTCCTGGCGGCAAATGGAGAGCTGGGCAGAGCGTAGAAGAGAAAAATTAGACTAAATTCATCTCTCTCCTACACCACTGCCAGTTAATCCACCTATACTTTACTTCATCCCAATTTCACTTCTCCCCAGCTGCTACACACCGCAGAGGGCCCTGCCCGAAAGGACCAGCTAAACCAAAGCCATGTTTTAATGAGGCAGCCGAACCACACTAAGCTCCTACTATCACATGGCCATTGGTCTATCATCTTTGTTTATTAACGACTGCTTTGCAGAGGGCTAAGTAGATAACACTCAGAGAATGCACCTTTATCTGGGTTAGTGTTTGTGAACAGGGAAAAAAAAGAGAAGACATCTACTTTGCAAAAAAAGAAAAAAATGCCATCAAAGCTCCTTAGCACATAATACATCTTAGCAATCAGAGCCAGAACCCAAAAGCATAATAAAGAAAAGCAAGTGAAAATGCCTATAATCATCATTTTTTAAATGCCTTATTTCCTGCCAATCTTATATTCGCTTCCAGAGAAGCAAAAGTTGCCCGCTCTGCCAGCTCCTTTGTCAGCTGCCAGATGTTACTTTCCTTCTGGAAAAAGGGTCAGAAGGCTGCTGGTAGCTAATAGCCAGCCAGACGCCGCGAGGAAGAACCATGCCTCGTGGGTTTTAGCTGCTGGCTGATTGTCATTTGAGAGCTACAAGTTCTGGTTTGATAAAAGCCAGCTATAGATTTCAAACCTTCTTTTTTTCTTTTTCCATTTGTGCTTTGAAATTGTCGTGCACTCCAAATGGAACTCTGCGAGCACGCGGGCCTTTGTTCTGCCTTGTTAGGCACCAGCAGTTAGAGTCCTCTCCAGACAGTCACTTTGCAGGGAGGGCCCGTGGGCTGAGGCGAAGCAAGGGAGGCAGCAGGGGAGGGGTTTGGGGCTGGATGAGCTGCGTGATGCAGCCCTGAGTAAGGATGGACCCAGCGGAGAGGGTTTCATGCTCTGAGAGGCAAGCTCAGACTCTAGTTGTTTCTGTGATGGCCGGGGGGTGGGGTGGGAATGTGTTTGTAAGTTCAAGTCAGAATTTATTGACTGAAGTCCCCTGAAATGAAACGAGTCACCAGCTCGATGCACCAGGCATGAAATCCGAATCTTAAACTGCTTCAAGGCTACCAACTGTTCCCCAAGGCCAGTGATGAGAATTACCTTCTCTGAGACACCGTGTGGGAATCAGCGCTCTGTAGATTTCAGGGGGTCGGGCAAGAAGAAGGGGGGGCAGCAGGAATTCTGTACAATGGTGTGCTTTAAATTCAGATGCTTAGGGGCTGTCATGTGCCATGCATCAACGGTGAAAAATAAACACCCAGCAGAAGCTGGCTTTGAGTTAAGGCGAGTGCACAATAAATTTCAACTGGTTAAATTAATCGTTTGCTGCTTGTTGTGAATATTAATCCCAGGGAGGGAGCTGGCTTCAACCCAATCAAAAGACAGGTGAAAACTGAAAACAGCAAAACATTTGGGATCTTTAGAGGGAAGGCTTACGTGAGCCAAGCGTTGATGCTGAGTCCCAACGAGAAGCAGAATCTGACAAACAGCCCCTCCTGCTCTATGGGCACAGCTGTGCTGTGGGAGTGAGCTCGCCCTGCCCTCAGCCCTCACCTGTCCCCTCTGGGGCTCTCCAGGGACGTGTTCGGAGAAGAGTCTTGCCTGAGGGTGTGGAAGATGAAGGAGCCAAGACTCCTAATTTGGCTTTTTTTTTAATTGTGGTAAAATATACATGACAAAATTTACCATTTTAACCATTTCCAAACGTGCAATTCAGCGGCATTGAGTGTATTCACTGTGTTGTGCAACCATCACCTCCCAATTTCCAGAATGTTTTCATCATCCCAAACAGAAACTCTGCACCCCTTAAACAAACTGCTCCTCATTCTCCCCTTTTCTGGTAACCTTTCTTCTATCTTCTGTCTGCATGAATATGACTATTTTAGGTATCTCATACAAGTGAAATCAAATAATATTCGTTCTCATATGTCTGTCTTATTTCACTTAGCATAATGTTTTCAAGGTTCATCATGTTGTAGCCTGTATCAGGACCTTATTCCTTTTTAGGGCTGAATAATATTCCATCTTATAGATTATACCACATTTCGTTTATCCATTCATCTGTTTGGTTTTAGGGTTTTTTATTTACGTAGGCTGCATGCCCTGCGTGGAGCCCAGCATGGGGCTTGAACTCACAACTGTGAGATCAAGACCTGAGCTGAGATCAAGAGTTGGACACTTAACTGCCTTAGCCACCCACACGCCTCTATCCATTCATCTGTTGATGGACATTTGAGTTGTTTCCACTCTTTGACTTCTATGAATAGTGCTGCTATAAACACGTGTGTACAGATATCTGTTCAAGTCCCTGCTTTCGATTCTTTTGGGTATGTTTCTTTTTGAGGAATCACCAAACCATTTCCTAATTTGTTTGTAATCTTCCTAGAATTTCTGATATAAAAGAAAGAAAAAAATCATTACAAAAAGATAAAGTAATGGTTGCTTTTGGCACTTGGTATTGATCTCAGTGGGAAATGGCTGTTTATGGAATGACCCCGATGGGACATGTTTGGCCGTAAAAAGTGAGATCCTTTACAGTGGTCTGGAAGGAGAAAGTCGCCACCAAGAAAAAGAAGTAGGTAGTACAACCTTGATAAAGATGCAAAACTATTGTCTTCCCTGGGTGATGCCAAGACAAGGACCCTGGAGGGAGGGAGAGGAAGAGGTCTCTGGAGAGAGGGAGCCACACCAAGGTCAGGGATCCTAAGGTGAAAGATGGCCAATGACGCTGGAAGGCTTCAGAGTTCATTTTAAGATTGCTGACTTGGTCTGCCCTGGGCTGTCATTCCCCTCCGTTGTCCCTAAACCGTCAGCTAAAATCTGTTCGGTGTCACAAAGTGGTGATAGTGGCCCTGTGAGCTGATCAGGAGCATGGGAGGGACAGGGAAGGGGGCGAGGGGCTCTCACTGTGGGGGAGGTTGAACTGTACCCCTATTCGGTGCCAACAGGAAATCAGAGTTGGCTGTAAGGCACGTCCGAAGCCCAAGAGGAGATGAGGTAGGGATTCGCTATCACTTGGAGTAGATATTGAAGGAAAAGGCAGTTGCAGACGAGGGAAGACTTGGGGCTTTCCAGGTTATCCTGAGAATACTGTGCCTCTGAGCAGGAAAACCAGAGCCACCCTAGGTAAAGCCCCAGTGTCAGATGCGGGCAAGCAAGTCCTGCTTAGTGAATGTTCCGTCCCTGCCTGAAACCGAGACTCACCCTCTCTGTGGCAGGTTTTGTCAAGATGCACAGCCTGTTAAACAGAACTCCATGGAGACACTGGGGCAGCTCAGATGAGATCTCACTTCCCATCTCTATGAGGAACATCCCCAAACAAGTCATTCCAGGGACCGGCCTTGAAATAAATATGAACTTGCTGAGACAGAACCCAGCCCACACTGAGGCAGGACCTTGTAAACTACCATCAGCCTCCATAAGGCCATCATGGGTATCAGAACCTTGACCCATGTAATGAAATGGCAGGAATTTGGGGTTTTTCCCCAGGCGCCAAGGGAGACCGTGGCCCCATTACCCAGAATATGTTGAAAGGAGGCAGAAGAGGTTCCCAAAATGGCTACAGTCAAGGCTTACGGAGAAAGGTAACTCCGGGGAGAAATTCTCCATGGCAGGCAAAGCAAAGGGCCCTGCGCTTGAGACCCTCGCTGCTCGACTGTGGTCCACAGAATAGCAGCATCGGTCGGTAGCCCCGGAGAGCTCGTTAGAAATCCAAATCCCAGGCCTCACCACAGACCTACTGAACCAGAATCTGTCACTTAAAACACGCCCTGGCAATTTACATGCACTGCATTCTGATAAGACACGTTTCAGCGTATTGCTCTGCAACCTTGGCTGTACGTTGGAACTACCTGGGAAACTTTATTTAAAGTTTTGCCAGCTCACTATCAGAGCTCTCTGGTGATTCTAATACGCAGCAAAATCTGCGAACCACTGCTTTAGAGGGTTCTGCTCTGGCCTCTTCCTGGCTGCGCCCCTGTGCTTGGGTGAGGTGTCCAAAGCCAGTGGTGTACTGATGAACAGGCTTTCCAAGGGAAAGAAAAAAAAAACACCAAAAAACTGACTTGTAAAGTTCGAAAGTTGGAAGTTTGCCAGTTCTCCTTGTGTACATATTCCTACCCCACCGCAGCTGATTTCGGGCTACCAATGTGGTAGCAGGAGGGCAGAGGTAGGGCGAGATGACTCAGCTCTCAGGCAGCTGTACCAGCCAGCACCCGGGCTTGGGACCAATTGGGTGTATCCACACCGAGCCTCTGCCATCCTCTGGACCATAGAATTCCCTGATCCCGTGCAGGCCTCTTCTCCAAGGGGGTGGTACAGAATTTAAACATGGGCCAGGGTGTCCACGCATGAGGCCCCTCGGAGGTGCTGGCATTAGGAAGAGCATGGAGGGGGTGAGAGCCGGGCTCTGCCCCATCCCTGTAAGTGCAGGAAGGAGCCTGCAGACAGTCATGCCCCATTTGAATTTGCAGCTCTTTACAGAGCTCTACTATGGTATGGCAACCCTCTGTTATGACCAAACATTCCCCAGTCCTTAGGAACGGGTTTAACTTGCCAGTTTGGGGCTTAGGTGTGTTTCAGGGAAGAAGGGAGACAGACAGCACTCTTGCACTGGGCAAGGGACAGGGAGAGAGGCCAGCAAATGCTGGAAGGACTTGAAGGGACCAGGGACTTAAGTGGGAATAAGCAGGAGAATATAACTCAACCCCGACTGTCCCGGAAGCCCTGGAAATGGTGGGGAGTTGCTGGACTTCCCACAGGATGTGGGAGATAGATTTACATCACCGTATTTGTTAGAGGAAAGATGATCTCAGAAGTCTGGAGGACTTACAGCAGAGAGCTCAGAGCCTTGAATTAGACTGCATGAATTCAAGTCCCAGCCCCACCGCTCACTAGCCTTGTGGCCTAAGCTTCCTTCCATTCCCTACTCCACATCTGCCTTATGAACCTGGGGTGCACTGGAAGGCAGGGGGTTGACCAGATCTGGGGCAGGAAATGGTCAAGGAGAGCAAAAGGCCTGGTGGCAATAACACTGGGAGGCTGGAGGAGGTGGGACAGAACAGGCAGCAACCCTCTCTGTGAAAGGAGTTTCTTGGGAAGATGGCACTCTGAAAGGACACCTGGAACCAATGAAGGAAACTGATCCATGAAAAGAGGTTGAGGGCAAACATCACCTCCTTCCCAGCTGTTATTAGCACCAGCCTTCCGCCTCCTACCCAAATGTCAGGTAATACTTCTTTTATTTTATTTATTTTTTTAAAAGGTTTTATTTTAAGTAATTTCTATACCCAATGTGGGGCTGGAACTTACAAGCCTGAGATCAAGAGTCGCGTGCCCTACTGACTGAGCCAGCCAGGTGCCCTGGTAAGACTTCTTTTAAAAGATTCAAAGTGTGAGGGCTTGAGCTACCTCAATTGCTAGAAATTAAGCTTCTTCAAAGGGCCTATGAGCTCCCCAGAATTCTGACATTTCTACCGTGTGTGTGTGCGTGTGTGTGTATGTGTGTGTATGTGACACAGAGAGAGAGAGAGAGAGAGAGAGATATGTTGTCTCATGGGTTGTCAGGGTCTTATGGCTCCAGCTACCTTGTCAGCTTCAGGTACCAGTCAGCAGCACGATCCCGTTTGCTTGTCTGTTTCCAACTTAGAACTACCCATATTCAGAGAGTCCCAGTCTGTGACTTCCTCCCATAGACTAGCTTACCTCCCCACAGAAGACATGCCCTCTATTCAGGGTCCTGGCCCTATTCAAGGGGCCCAAGAGAGGAAGAGCTGATTCTCCCATTCTGGTCCAAGGCCAATCTTAGTCCTCAAATCCTTTTCATGATTGAACTCTTCTTGAGATTATTAATAATGGAAATGCCCACAATTCTCAAGGAAAATCTTTTTCCTACCTGAGACTATTGGAGGGGATGGGGCTTGAGAAAATTGGGAAAATTCCAATAAGGCAAATCAAAGTCAAATATGAGTCATATATTATTTCATATCTACAATATAAGTTCTGGTGTCATCAGGGACCCAGACTACTTCCATCTTGCTGCTCTACCATTCTTGGGGTGTTACTGTCAACCACATGGTCCCCAAAAGCTTACATCCACAACTAAATCCACAGTCTAGCCAATGATAAGTGGAAAAAAGAGGAAATCATGCCTCTTCCCTTGAAGGGCATGACACTTTCCTATCTTCTTTTTTTTTTTTTTTTAAGATTTTTAAAATTTATTTGACAGAGAGAGACACAGTGAGAGAGGGAACACAAGCAGGGGGAGTGGGAGAGGGAGAAGCAGGCTTCCCGCCAAGCAAGGAGCCCAATGTGGAACTCAATCCCAGGACCCTCAGATCATGACCTGACCCGAAGACAGATGCATCATGACTGAGCCACCCAGGTGCCCACTTTCCTATCTTCTTAATCAGAACTTAGTCCACATGGCCATATTATCCACAGGGAAGGCTGGGTAGTATAGTCTTTATTCTGGGCAGCCATTTGCCCAACTAAAGATTCTATTACTGTGGCAGAAAAAGAGACTGGATTTTAGGGTTCACTTTCAGCCACTGCTGCAAACATCAACAACCCAAATTGGGTTGAGCTGAAACTGGGTCCATTTCCTTAAGAGAGTCTCCTAGAGAGGGGGAGGAACAAGTCAGCCTACCCCTCTAGGAAAGCCAAGGTGAGCATTAAAAGGGGACTTGCTTGTCATGCATTGTCATCATCTTCAGATAAAAGCAAGGTGCTCAGTGAGACAAAGACTATTTCCACAGAGAACAGGAAAGCCACAACATGGGCCTGAGGCCTTGTGCCACCACCATGAAGACACATAGGCTTTCCTCTACCGCTAGACCCTATCTTGAAGAGAAAGAGGCAGAAATACCAAAAGACTGAATAATTGTCAAGGAGAGAGTGAATTGAGACTGAATTGCTCTGAATGGAAGCCTAAGGTGTTTCCCTGACTCTTTAGTGGGATGGGAGCTCATGAGGACAAACTAAATCCTAGAAATAGTGTTGCAGGGTTTTGGTTTTGTGTTTGGCTTAATCTACTAATGAAATCTCTCTCTCTCTCTCTCTCTCTGTCACACACACACACACACACGAGTAAAATTTCCTGATCTTATTGTTTTTAAGATACAATTCTAAGAACATCTTTCTTATAGATAGCACCACTACCTCTGTTAACTCTTACTTCTACATGCATTCTGCCAAGTAGGCAAAGCTGACGTGAAAAGAATCCATGTTTTTTTCTCTGCCAGGAAGGTGTCATCACCAAGGTAGCACGCTTAGAGAGAGAAGACAACTATGCTTTCAGGTGGCCTAGAGGTGAAGTTGTCCGTCTGTCCCCAGACCAGAGTGCAGAGCAGGGCGGGCAAAAGCCCTCACCAGGTGTGTGGTCCGACCTTTGGTTTTTCCTCAGCTGGGTCCTCACATGTGGTTGGATGCTCTGATCTGTAGTAAATTCTCTGACATATAATACTCCTTTAGTCAATTGGTAGCATAAAAGTACATCTTCCTGCTACATATGAATAGTTGTATTATCTACTATTTTGTTGTTTTTCCCCCTTACAGTATTGACTGATAACCGATTCTAATTGAGTTACGCATTTGTTTGATAGTTAGTATTTATTATTATAATAGCAGCTAGTATGTATTGAGCACAATGCCAGAGACTGCACACAGATCATGTAATCTGCTCTTCATACTCATCTCACAGAGCGGCAGAACACAGTTGTGTCATTTGTCTGGCTGAGGAGGCAAATGGGGCTAAAGTCTACCCTGGTCCTCACTCACCAAGGGCTGTGCTGAGGGAGAGGCTTCATTCCCCTTTCCTCACACAAAGCCAGGAGAACTGCTACCTTTGGAGCCTTACTCACCTGTGAGAGAGAGAGGCCTTACTCTTCCCATTCCAGAGATTAAGAAACTAAGGAACAAAGAAGTTACGAAACTTCCCTAAGGTCACACAACTGGCAGGCGGAGGAATAGGGACCCAAACCAGATGCCTGACTCAGAGCCCAGGCTCTTAACCTGAACGCTATTGGTATAATGTCTGTTCTACTCCCTGGGAAATTCCCAGTCTTAGGTTGTAAGCGCCCAGAAGACAGGCTTTTTGCATCCACATGATTTGCCTTCGATTCTATACAACGTACTATGTTAATGTGTGCGTAAAGTGCATTCTCGACACTAAAGGAGTGAATGCTCAGATTCTTTGGCCAGAGATCTCCAACTACTGCACCTAGCTGCTTGAGACGAGAATTTCATGCTATAACAAGAGAAGAGGCATTGAGAACTGTCAGGCCAATGATGCCCTGAGGAAATCAACCCTCTAGATTCTCTTGAGGATGTGCACAGTTCTGAGGCCAAGCAAGACTAGGGTCTGGCAGTCAGGCAACCAAGTCTGCTCGAAGGGGAGGGTTTAACGTGAAATGTCCACCTAACTCCCTTGCGTCCACACCTCACATCTTGGTGGAGCCCTGAAAGATCAGTCTGCCCATAAAATAGATCTCCCTTCTAACTGTGTGCCTAAAGTTTCCACCATTGAATGCATTTCTTTGGGTTCGGGTTGCCCTGCCTGCCAACACCACCCTCCAGATTCTCCCCGCCTGCTCCCTGATGCCTGAAATTCCTTTAATATGGAACAAAGGTTTTCATTTCATAGAGGGTGATGAGGCTTAAAATGCAAGCACCCCTCAGAGAGGTGGCATACTGATTTAAATTCACACCATGTAACAGGTATAAATGAGTGCTCAGGTTTTTTTTCCTGAGAGCACCTTTTGATGAGGGGAAGGCAGAGGAGAGAATAAGGACACTAGGAAAGGCAGTGTTAGAAGAAGGGTAGTCTAGAGAAAGAAAAGGGCACAGAGAGGAGATGAATCTGTGTGGCTTCAGCCTATGTGGGGCATCCTTGGCCCCCCCGCAGGTACCAGACAGCTCGGTGGAGGGGGGCAGCGTGGCTTTCTTCGAGAGTTCGCTCAGCCTTCAAACCCGGCTGTGTAGCCCTCGAAAGCTACTTAACTTCTCTGCACCTTCCTTTCCTCACCTGGAAAATGAGGTGAAAAAAACCCATTGTGCACGACTGCTCTGGGGATTTTTATTTTATTTATTTTATATTTTATTGTGGTGAAATGCATATAAGATAACATTTATCAATCTTAGCCATTTTTAAATGTACAGTTCAGTGGCATTTCGCACATTCACATTCGGTGCAACCATCCCCGCCATCCATCTCCAGAACTCTTTTCATCTTGCAAAACTGGAAGTCTATATGCATGAAACAATGATTCCCCATTCCTCCCTCTGATCTGCCCCTAGCAACCACCATTCTAATTTCTGTCCCTATGGATCTGACTATTCTAGGTAGCTTATATAAGTGGAATTACATAGTATTTGTCCTTTTATGACTGGCTTATGTCACCATAATGTCTTCCAGGTACAGCCATGTTTGTAGCACATGTCAGAATCTCCTTCCTTTTTAAGGCTGACTAGTATTCCACTGTATGGATAGATCACACTTTGCTTATCCACTCATCCACTGATGGACCGTTGTGTTGTTTCCACCTTTTGGCTATTGTGAATAATGCTGTTATGAACATAGATGTACAAATATCTCTTCGAGATCCCGTTTTTAATTCTTTTGGGTATTAAAAAAATTCTTTAGAGTATATACCCAGAAATGGAATTGCTAGATCATATGGCAATTGTATTTTTCTTTTGTTTGAGGAACCGCCATATTGCTTTCCACAGTGGCTACACCACTTAACATTCCCACCAACGGTGCACAAGGGTTCCCTTTGCTCCACATCCTCACCAACCTTAATTTCTCTTCTCCTCCTCCTCCTCCTTATCCTTCTCTTCCTTATAACCATCCTAACTATGAAATGTAACTTACACAGTTTTTGCTTCTGAAAGACACACAAGAACCCATTGAGGATCTTTCAGTTTGCATGCCTAGCACCTAGTGTGTGTGTGGAGTAAGGCAAGCACTCACTAAAGGTTTGGGGACTGGAATACCCAGAAGAGCTGGACTAGACCCTGGGAGCCTGGGTGTTTCTTCTCGTCCTGCCATTGTCTCAACAGCCATGCCACAGAGCTGTCAGCCAGCAGTGTGTGAGCCAGGGGACCCTCTGAACAAGGGCCCTTCTCAGGGAAATTCCTTCTGGAGTGCCATAGTTTCACTCTGCCCTTTCAGCGTTTGAAATAACACCATTTAAAAATGGAAAATCAAGGCTCCTCCAAGGAATGAGT